CCAGAAATGGCCATTCCGGTCTCCCTAGTCTTTGTCGGTATCATCTCATCTATGTCTACTACTAGTCGCTGTGCGACTGCCTGCGAGGGTTTAAGTATGAGCCCCAAGGCACAACGGAACGAGCATGTTCCGTAACCTGATCGGCGAGCGCCCACTGTCATATATATATATACACATCGATATGCGTAAAGATTCGAGGTCCAGACATTGTATCGCGTTCATCATCTCCCGAAGAAGACGAAGAAGAAGAGAGGGCGAATCCATGGACCATATTGTATTCGAACTGACGTTTCGGAAACTTCCTCGTTTCCATCATCAGAGTAGCGTAATTGTTGCACTTGCGGGTCTTGAGTTATTCAGTCTTGCCGCTTGCCTCGTATTATAGCCGTGCCGGACGCACGAACTTTGACCTGCCTGTTTGCCGCTGACTGGCTTAGACCTCCCCGGAGCTGACCGCTGATAGGCCTGCGTGACCTTTGTTCCCTTTGGGGTCGGCTTAGTTGTGGTCAAATCAACGTGCCGCTTGGTCCCTCCCACGTCAGTCGTTGGACTGATCGGTCGTTGCTGTTCAGGTGAGCAGCATTCAGCTTCGCGGGCGCATCGGTGAGACAGTGTTCGGCTTTGGTCACATGACCTCTGGCCCCCAATTCCGCTCTTTTCCGTGAGCGTTGACTCTCGGTCCCGCGTGCTCGTTTGCCTTACTGGTCCTATCCGGACTGCTTGGTAGGCGGGATGTAGATCTATAGCTCGGTTGAGTGTACCAGTCGAGGACCAACTTTCGAGCACCAGTCTGGCCATCTCCTCATTGGCTCGACCAATTACTCTCGCTTTCTCAAAGGCAAAATTGTGGTTCAGTTCTCGTATGTGGCCATAGACCAAAGACAGCTTGTCCTCGCGGTTAATGCAACGAATGATAAGGCTCCAAATTTTTCGGCAAAAAGAAAACGTTTTTAAAACCTAATTATACTCCTTCCTTAAGTATAAAATATAGAGAAGACGTGATTCTCTATTGATTGGCTAAAAGAAAGCATATTTTTGTTTGTGGATTCTATAAAATATATTTGACCATCGAAAATCAATGGGAAAAATGCATGCTACTTAAGTAGTCATTTTTTACCAAGCACGGTTTCTACAGGATATTGAACAGAAGTGCATTTGAAAGCCGACATCCTGTCGAGTCCAAAATGTTATAAGAGTATGCCTTAAGATAAACAGTATTACAACCGCGACCAAGTAATCCTTCCTAATCGAAAACCCATTTCAAAATTTCAGCCAACATTTCATGAGATAGGTCACGCACTGTATATGTTGAAGTCAAGGGTGTTCTTTGGGAAAAGGAGTTTTATTGCGTGAATTTTCGACGTTGGTTCCCCAGACAGTTTGCAGTACTTGAGACCACCTGTCTAAAGTAGCCATGCATACCCTGGAAACCGGGCATGCCTTCGCTTGGGACAGAACTCGGATTGTCGGTGTCTGCCCTTTCAAAAAATGCCGAGAGTTCCTCGAGGCCATGCACTCGGATGAATCATGTATCAACAGGCACATTGAGTTGGACGCCGCGTACAAAAGTCTGAAGGAGAAGTGGAAGAGACGAAAGTACGCTTTCTACAGGAGATTGAAAAGAAGTGCATTTAAAAGCCGACATCCTGCCAAGTCCGAAATGTTATAAGAGTATGCCGCAAGGTAGTCAGTATTACGACCGCGACCAAGTCATCCTTCCTAATCGAAAACGCATTTCAGAATTTCAGCCTACATTTCATGAGTTAGGTAACTCACTGTACGTGTCGTTAAGTTGGTAGTGATTTATCCAATACTCTCCTAAAGATGGAGTCTGCTCTCGGACGTTGCATAACCGGCCATGATTTTAGCCTCACTTGTTCATTTATTAGCGAATACCGACCACTGACAGGAAGACGTTTCGAAATCGCTTTCTACCACATCATCATAAATGAAGAGTAATTATTGCTATTTCAGGATGATACAACTTGTAGTGCGTGCACTTATTGTGGACAGAATTTTAAAAATATGCCAGAGAAACGTTAAATAGCGATTTCAACTCCCAGGGTACCATTTCTCGTAAAACGGCCATAAAACTTTTGCAAAGAACGGAACTAACATAATGTGGAAACGAAAGATGACTCTATTCGAAAGGGAGAGTTCTCAAGGGACGAAAGTAAAAAATTAACAGCAAGAACGATGGAAGATTAAAAGGGTATACGGACGATTGGATAATGCCTAACTGACTCGCGACAACCTCCACCTCGGCATCCACGTCCTCGCAGAAATTCTTTGACACGTTCACGAAATCGCACCCACCAGCCAGCTGGTGCGAGTGGATTAGATGCCCGTCCCGGTTCCTCCACTTCCTCCCCCTCCTCAGGCCCATCCACCGCATCCAGCGCATCGTCTTCCTCTCCTGCCTGCAGTCTTCCCTCTTCTGCCTCATCCAACCAGATCCTCTCCGTCGAGGCTGCCTGTGACGTAGGCACATTCAGCAGAAGGATGAGGAAAAAGAAGACGAGCACGAGAGGAAGCCGCAGTACTGCAACACAGTTTACAGACATGTTCCTTGTCATATACCTTGATGATGTCCCCGGTGTACGCCAACTTTTATACTTTACTCGACAGATAAACAGAATGCGGACACCCACTCACACCCACACGCACGCGGTTGTTTATTGTAGACTGGTTAATGAATGCAGCCTACGGATAAATGGTTAACGGGTTCTGGCTCCATGTTTTGAGCTGGTGGTGGTGGTGGTGGTGGTGTTGGTGGTGGTGGTGGTGGTGGAGGAGGAGGAGGAGGAGAAGGAGGAGAAGGAGGAGTCCTATGATATGAAATGCGTGTTGATCGTGTCGACATAGCAGTGTGTCGACAGGAGTCTACTGGTGCTGATCCTTGCCCGGAATATCCACTGACAATGTGAAGTGTGTGGGTTCTGCGTCGCTGGTCCGTTGCATCCGAATCCTACTAGCCTTTGTCGCATGGTCTTGACAGCAGTTATTCATCCGTCTTCGAAATTGACTGCAGAGGTTTTATGGCAATGCGCCAGAACTGCCGCTCTTGGGCGAAGTTCTCTCAACTGTGTTAGTTAATTTTCAAGTAGAGTGAGGTCTGCTCCTGCAGCCCCACCTGCGTGATACCACATGGTTAGTTTTCTAAGAAGATTTGGGTAGATACGAACATGATGGCTCTACAACTATCACATACTTGCATCTTCCTTACCATTTTAATTCAATGAGTAACTGTGTCACGTTCGGAGGAGTGTTTATACGCCAGCCGCGGTTACTGCAGTTATCAGTTCACACGCGCTTCCCTGCGTGTGATTCGAGCCTTGCTTGCGTCCTCTTTATTATCCTAATCCAGCGAGGAGCCAAGTGGACTTGCAAATCGAATTGTTCACACGGTGCGGAACATCGTCGGTTTCATTGCAGTGATCATGCACTGCGAATTACCGCGCGGTTACCTCACTGGCCTTCCAGTTGCGATTGCACCCTCCTTATCCTCTACATCCAGCCAATGACTGTCTCGGGGGGAGAATGTACGCGCCACCATCACTCGCTTCCCTGCGCGCTCTTCGAGCTCTGCTTGTGCTCTCTTTCCCTTCATAGTCCAACGAGTGGCTAAGTTAGGTATGCTAACTAATGCTGTTTTGGTAGGCCATCCATATGTTATCAATCAAGTGAGGCTGCATAACCAAACCTCACATTCCGTTGCTTACGGGAGGTCTCTGGTGTGGCCTAGGAACGTCGCTCTTGTCCGCATTGTCTTCGAGCACCCGTGGCCGCCTCACTCTAGAATATCCACTTGAGCAGGCGCTCCTCCGCTATCATCACGAGGTGTCCGCTCCGAAGCAATCTCACTTGCCTCGAAATGACGCGGATACTGAAGGTGTCGGTTCTAATCAGGATCTCGCTGTCTGAGATCCTTTCCTTTCATCTCTTCTTGGGTGTCTGACGTGAAAGTGATTAAGCTTCCTCGATTAGTTTTAGCATACATTCCATATCTGCGTTTGCAACAAGAACTTCATCAGGACAATATCGTCTGTGCTTCCCTCGCCTTATGTTGAGGGTCCCGTTGCGATGGCTCCAAATAGGACGGTGTGATTGGTCAAAAGCTTGGCATCGAGATTCGGCAGATCCGAATGGCAGTTTTAAAGAAGGACACACGATTGCTGGGACAAGAGCTTTATTAGACTGACGTTTTGGATTCTTGCTCGAACCCATCATCAGAGGCAACGGCAGATACGGGTGGTTCATGCACAAGGGGCTGCAGTATTTATAGGATGCAGTCGCCATGATACCGCATACCTATGAACATTCACGTCTCCGCCCTTCATCCGGGATCGTCGCACTTGGTGTGCTAATTGTTTGATAGCAGACATTCGCGTCGGTATCTGCTGCAACTTCATCACGTGCGCTGGGTGTTGGTTTGATGATTGCTCGACAATCTGAGCATAGGTATATGCGGTAGCATATATGGTATGAGCATATAGGTATGCGGTAGCATGGCAACCGCATCCTATAAATACTGCAGTCCCTTCTGCGTGAATCACCCGTATCTGCTGTTGTCTCCGATGATGGATTCGAGCAGGAATCCGAAACGTCAGGCTAATAAAGTTTTTGTCCCAGCGATCGTGTGTCCTTCTTCAAAACTACATTTTAGGACTCGTCTCTTCGCTTCTTTTGGAAATGGCAGTTTCATCAACCTGAGTGAGGTTTCGCGAATGTATTCTCCCCCTGGATACGCGAATTTATCCATTGCTGTGGGTCGAGTTCCACTGACATTGACTCGGGTCCGGTTGAGACATGAGTAACCATTTATCATTGTTTATTGTCACTCCAAAGTGAAAGCATCCGAAGGCCAATCTGCCTACACTGTACAGCATAATGTGGTGTTCAGAGTACAGTCTTTCACACACAATGAGTTGTGAAGACCATCGAAATATTCTTCCTTTAAAACAATTTGCACTCACAAACAGGCCACCGACACTTGTCATGCCGATGCGGCAACATCCATGCCGGTTCGTCAGGCACCACCACCGGCGTCCCAGTCTGTCCTTCAAGAAAACAGATGCCCGGCAACGCAGGTAAATACTTTGCAGCTGCATCTTTCGCATACTCTCAGGTCTCAGATTTCACGCCCTAATTGAAGGACGCGTTCCACACTACTGAAGGCTGATGTGGTCGCAATGGCTCACAAAACTAAACAGCCCAAAGAAGGACACATGATCGCTTTGACAAGATCTTTAATAGCTTGACGTTTCGGACTCTCACTGGAATCCATCTTTACAGACAATGTCAAGCAAGTGTGGTGGACTGTCCAGGTGTTACAGTGTTTATAGGATGTAGATGCAAGTCCACATGGGGCCTATTACAATTGGCAGCTCCTGAATACATCACTGTCTGAGTGGACATTTGTTCCCGTATTCAGTTGCCATGTAGTTGATATGCCGGAGTTAACACCTATGGTAGTCATGTTGTGTTCTATCGACCACATCCTATAAATACTGCAACACCTGGACAATCCACAGCAATTACTTGATTCAGAAGACGAGGTGGCTGCATACGTAGCTTTCGATAAATTCTCGTCGGGTCAGTACAGATATATGGGAATGGGGTAGAAGAAAACCATGTCAGCGATAAGAGAATTCGATAAAAGTTCTCTTTAAAACACAGGCGGGATGTGGGGATGTGGGGGGAGGGGTGGGGATGGGGGGGGGTTATAGCAGTCAGTGTCAGGGGCGGGGTGAGAGAGCAAGGGCCCGGGGAGTTGCAGCGTTAGTCAACCTTCCACCACTGTAGGCGCGGAGCCCGAACGTGGTTCTTCTGTGCGCATAAGATTGGCTTCCGTAACCTAATGGCGACCGCTTCCGCTGTCGCTAACAGGCGGTGGCCTAGTAGCTTAGAGTTGCTCAGTGGGACCTTATATATTACACGAAAAGATTCGTTAGAATTCCCACAATGTCCGGAGTCGACAACATGCGCGAGAATGGCGCTGTCTATTCTCCCAGGTTCCCCTTTTGCCAGCCATGCGGGAAGGTGTTTCCATATTCTCTTGGATAGGCACCGACTCGTGCGATCAATTACTTGATTGTGTCTCTGATGCTCTCTTCGAGTGAGGATCCGGTGGGTCAGGCTTATAAAGCTCTTATTGTATTCATCGCTTCCCCTCTTTATGACTCTTCCTGGCACTCGCCTCCTCGCTTCTATTGGTTGAACAGCCATCTTCGTGCAACTTTAAATACAGTCCGCTTTTCCATATTCCCTCATGAGACGTTTTTAATAGAATATGACCTGAGAAAATATGTATTAATTGTTGTACTGTCTCTGAAACAAAAGCCTTCCATGGCGCAGATCGTAATGACCTGTTCTCTCACTGTGTTTCGTGAGGTTGTTGGTCACCGATTCGGATCTCTGGCCCAGAATCCATGGAACCTCACTGTGCGAACACTGACGACATACAGCGTGAGCGTAGTGTGTCATTAAAATATGCGTCATTTGTGCCTTACTTACGTATTTAACAAATGGTTTGGGAATCTCTTATGCCTACTTAAATATTGGAAATCCATGCAAGAATGGAAATAAAAAGGTCTTCTTTCTGATACTCTATTAAAATCTTGGGAATTGTACAGTCCCATATGGTCCCAGAGTGATTAATTTGTTAGCTAAATCTAAAATATCTTCAAGTGTTTTTGAGTGATTCCCGCTCAAGTCAGGGCAGGGCTCGGACACGCGGTCCTAACAGGAAATGGAAAAGCCATGCCGCTTCCAGTACGAGAACCATGGTACCAGGGGCTCTACGGGTGGAGCTTCGGGAAGACGCGGTAATACAGTGCGGGACCGATCTCATTAAATGTTAGCCAAAATTCTGGAATGCGTTTCCGATTAGGTAGGATTACTTAAGTTGGGTTGTTATGCTGACTATCATGCAGCTCAATCTTATAACATTTCGGACTCATCAGGATGTCTACTCTTGAATGGACTTCTTTTTGACGTCCTGCAGAAACCATGCTCGGTAAAAAATGACTACATAATTAGCATGCATTTTCCTATTGACTTTCGATAGACTTATGAATTCAAATATATTTTGTAAAAATCATGCATAAAAGTATGCTTTCTCTTGCTCATTTTATAGGGAACCACATTGTCTTCATATTTTATGCCCAATGAAAATGTGTATTTAGGTTATAAAATAGTTTCCCAATTTCCAAATAGCTTTCAGCCTGATCTCCCTTTGCATCAGCGTTTAGCAACTTCTTCTACAAGTTGCATGTTTTCCGCGTAAGGAAAATCGTACATTCCTCTATGTCTCCAAGAAAATACCACTTCGAGTTCATGAAATTTTGCAATGAACCCGGACTGTGTTGTACATTTCATGAGGAGCATTAGTAAACGGACATGTGTGGTCTTGCACGCATGGACATCGTACAGTCTTAAAAATCTCATTATTAGAAACTTTGTTGAATCCTAAGTACACACTTTCTTCGGGCATAAAATACAAAGATAATGTGATTTCCTTCCAAATAGGCAAATGAAATCATATTTATGTACATGTGTTCTACAAAATATTTTTGGATTTACAAGACCATCGAAAATCAGTGAGAAAAATGCATGCTATTTACGTAGCCATTTTTTGCCAAGTGTGGTTTCTGTAGGAGGTCAAAAGGAAGTGCATTCAAAAGCCGACATCTTGCTGAGTCCGAAATGTTATAGGGTTATGCTGCATGATACTCAACATAACAACCCAAATTAAGTAAACCTTCCTAATCGGAAACGAATTCCAGAATTTTGGTTAACATTTCATGAGATCGGTCACGCACTGTATGTCCGAAAACTACAACAAATCTGAAGTAGTGAAAGCAAATTCGAATTTCCCTCAAATAAACTAGACTATAGTGAACCGTAGGACAAAATCCCCGAAATACTGTACTATCGACGAGTGTTCGGAGCCAGTCGCTACCCGCGAAACTTTGTCAACCGCTGCATACGCAGACGAGGCAATGGGCCAAATCTCACTGATCCTAGACTTTGGCGAGGCCTTCCGTACATCAATAACGTCTCGGAGGCTGTTAGTCGCCCTATCGCACCACTTGGGACCGGAGATACACATAGACCGGATGCAACCATCTGGCGCATTGTAATGAGATCAAAAGACCCACTCCCACGTCAAGAAACGTCTGGAGTGGCCTTTTGAGCTTGAGGCAGTAACGGACCAAGCAAAATCGGAGAAATTAAAATACTGAACCTGGACGCGAATGACCGAGCACGTGGTGGTATTGCGATGAAATGTCGACAGTTCTTAAGTCGCAGCTTATCCAACGAGATCTGGCCAAACATGTGTGTTCGATGAGACCGACATTTTCGCGAAAGTTGCAATCGCGTATACCTCGAATTGCTTGCTTTACGGTTCGTTGACCCTAATATATGAACAAGTACAAGAACCTCTCCCTACCATACCTGGTGCTGAGACTTAACCTGGGCGGAGAAATTAGTCCAGTGGTGAGCGCGCAGGTGAACACCATTTCTAAAACCATTGTCGATAGGCCATGCGAACGGGTATTTATCGCGCCAACATCCGACGACTACAACGAAATTGCGGTGATTAACGACTCGAATGCCGGCCATCAAGCCAGTATCGCACCAATTGCGACCATCCTCGAAAGCTGTAAAAGCAGGTAATTGTCCTAGGCGTGCGTTAACATAGCGACTGCGCCCTATTTATACTGAACACCTTTCTGTTCGACTAACGTGTATCTGATGCCATCTCTTATGATGGGTTGGAACATGAATCAGAAACATCAGGTGAACAGCAGTATTATTATAGGGATAACGTCTGTTTCCTGACGGCTAACTGGTACTCGATTTTCGGTTGTGCAGGAAAACTGCCGATAAGGATAAACTGTACGACTAGGTTAGGTTCACTGTTGAGAACCGCCTACTACATTTTTAAGAATAGGCGTTTTTCGGTAGATTTGTTTGATCGGAATTCAATCACGCTTGCACTAGTTCGAAGCCCGGCATGACGGCATCCCTTGAACTAAACCTCATCCAAAATAATACTCTAAATCCTGCTCCTACTAGTCCTACTCGTTCTCCTTATTCTTATCATCTTCCACATCATCATCATCATCATAAACACCAAATACGCCAGTACCAGCTTCATAGCAAGCACAATCCAAACTAGCATCGTTATAACCGTTGAGTGAGGCCAGGTGTCACAGCCGCCCGTGACTGAGGAAATTATTTTCTGCTCCAACGATAATGTACAAATCAGAATATGACTTCTCAAATTGGCTGCCCATAAAAACGCTGTTGTTTTAATTCTTGAAAGGTTAGTTAGATTGAGATCCATATGAACATTAATCGCCAGCGGAATGGCAATACATTTTTATTATATATTTGCATAACTGCCAGGAGAATGTTCTAGTTCACTCAAATGTTGCAGCCTCTGCAATCGCATGTAACAACATAGTCACGAAGTGCATATGCGCGATAATGGTAAGGAAAGAACCACTGCGCTAGACCTAACTAGAGATTCTGAGATAACTTCTTGAAGTCTCCCCACCATAATGAGCGAATACTGGCCTCTGACATGTCGAATGATCATCATCATCATCCTCATCATCATCATCGTCATCATTCTGAATGTACTTCAGAATGATACAACTTGAAGTGCGTGCATTTACTGCGGACTGATTACTGAAACTGCGCCTGACAAATTTCAAACAACGAGTTCGACTCCGGGAGGACCACTACTCGTACAAGGTCCATACAACTTCTGCAAAGAACGGAGCCAACAGATTATGAAATCGAAAGATGACTGTATTAGAAAGGTAGTGTTCTCAAGGGACGAAAGTAAAAAATTAACAGCAGGACCGATGGAAGATTAGAAGGGTATACGGACGATTGGATAATGCCTAACTGGCTCCCGACAACCTCCACCTCGGCATCCACGTCCTCGTAGAAACCGTTTGACGCGTTCACGAAATCGTACCCACCAGCCGGCTGGTGCGAGGGGATTAGATGCTCGTGCCGGTTCCTCCAGCTCTTCTTCCTCCCCCTCCTCAGGTGCATCCTTCACATCCAGCGCATCGTCTTCCTCTCCTGTCTGCAGTCTTCCCTCTTCTGCCTCATCCAACCAGATCCTCTCCGTCGAGGCTGCCTGTGACGTAGGCACATTCAGCAGAAGGATGAGGAAAAAGAAGACGAGCAGGAGAGGAAGCCGCAGTACGGCAACACAGTTTTCAGACATGTTCCTTGTCATATGCCTTGATGATGTCCCCGGTGTATGCCGCCTTTTATACTTTACTCGAGAGCGTGCGTGTGCGTTAAGATAAACAGAATACGGACACCCACTCACACCCACACTCACGCGGTTGTTTATTGTAGACTGGTCAATGAATCCAGCCTGCGGTTAACGGGACGTGGACGTGTGTTTTAAGGTGGTCGTGGTGGTGGTGGTGGTGGTGGTGGTGGTGGTGGTGGTGGTGGTGTTGGTGGTGGTGGTGGTGGTGGTGGTGTTGTTTGTGGTGCGTGTTTTGCCGATATTCTGCCGCTGCATGGCGCAACTGCGAGGAATTCGGCTCGTCAGTAGATCCCCAGCATTTCCCGTCTTTTTTCTGGTAGACAATTTCTAAATAGTGGTAGTACCTCTGCTGTTGGTATGATATCACCTTGCCATAACGAGGGAAGTACTTTCAATTTACATCGCCCTTGATAAAACCACACAGATTCTTTCCAGTGTGCTGTCTTGGAACGGAAGGAGGCGAATGCTAGGACCGCTGCGATAATGCCAAGACTAGAGCAGCAATTGTTCTATTGTCCCTCTCGATTATTAGCGTTACCATAGCATACATATTAAGCCACGAAATCGCGCAGATTTGCCAATCCGACTTTTAGGAATCGATGGTAGAGGGGCGATTACAGGTCGTTATTTCGGCACTCACATGTCCCGGGGTCGGGTATGGCTGCCTTACGACGGCTAATAAGACAGAAATGGTCATTTTGGCCTCCCTCATCTTTGCCATGTATGCTATTCTGCCTTTTGAAAATCGATAAAAAGCTTCGTTCTCTGGAAAAACCTGATTGTCCTCAACCCGATCCCCACGGTTAGCAACAGACAAAAACCAGTTTTCAGCGGCGCTAGCTATGTATATTAGAACTCATGAGGATTTGTTACCCTTCTCTCGAAAAAACACTTTCAAACGTGCAACAGATGTCTAAGATGGGTATTGGCTTAGAAAATTGTTCGATTACCTTACAGCGTCCATTTTTGCTCAAATTCATGCCCATTTTGTTTAATAAAATTGCTCAGATATATTTTTTGCCCGAGACAAGCACAAGGCTCGGAAACACAGGTTCCTTTGATCAACACTTTTTTGCACTGTTACTAGTATTAATTTCAGTAGGTATGCTACAATTCGCTCTTCTATGATTAGGGCTAGGGTTGGGGCTTAGGGAACTAGGGTTAGGGTACTAGGGTTAGAGTTAGGAGATCATGGTTGAGTTTAAGGAACTAGGGTTGTGATTAGGCTTTGGGTTATGTTACGGGTTAGGATTAGTTGTTATTGTCCGGCTTGGTGTAAACTTGATTGGTAACAATCAGCGACAGCTTCCTTAATTCCGTTTAACGATTAGGAGTTATGCTTATTGTTAAGTCAAGTTTAGTGTTTGGTTTACCATCTACGAGGTTTTCAACTGGTCTTCTGTTTTTAGTTTTGGAGATATGGCTTACTGCTAATTTTGCCCCTACTTCCAACAACTTCCATCTACGGTTACCGTCTGATTGGTCACCTAGTTAGGCAATTCAGTTTCGACGACCTTTTTCTAGGCCAATCACCATTACTCCTACTGGATTTGGTCTTATTGGCTTCCTATATCGAATTTTGCATGGAATGCTGCTAACGCCGCACAATTACCCCTAATACACCCGTTTTTCTCGTAGTTTTCCCAGTTTTCCGGTGTTTTCCCCGTAGTCCTACCCATAAAACCCCTAATACCACTGTTGCCATATTGGAGGAATTTGGGCCTCCCCCTTTCTCATTACGGCCGCCTTCTCAGGCCTAGTCGCATTGATTTGAAGGGGCTGGGCGGGTGAGTAAATTACACATTGACTAAGGCGTCTTAAAATTCTCATACCTGTTTCTGTCATCACGTTTCACGAGTTATGTCACGATATCGACTGGGCAAACGCGGACTGGAAGCCCAATTATCCGGTCGGCTAAAACCTTCGATGAGCAGCGGTGCTTGTCCGCAGACAAACGGTCTTTGTGAGGTGCTTTATTGATATTTAGCAAGCTCATGACCTCCAGAATCTCTTGACAAATGGTGGACTCTAGTCTCGTGACTTCTTAAATCAGTACTCACTTTCGCATTTTCGTTTACTGGAGACTTGACGATACTGCAGTAAATCTATCCAAGCATGCCGGAATCCACACTTTGTCGTCATCGCTGATCGGATAAGCCAAGAAGTTAAGGCTGCCGTGATTTTGGAATGTTGAGTCGATAGTCTTCTCACCAACTCCGTCACCTTAGCTGGCGTGCAGACAGAAGTCACGCTGTGGATTTACTTGCCCCAGCTAGAAAATCATGCATGTCTCGTATGCTAGCCTAATGTCAGAGATTTTCACAGGTTGTTCTTAAGGACACTGGTGATTCCTGAACATACACTTTGTCATCCATGTTTGTCACATGTCTGGGTTTTTGGGATTACCCACGACTTCTAAGCATGGGTTCATCGTCCTTGCAGATGATGACTGTCCACCTGCGAACTGCGTCTTGCTGTCTCTTTCCACTTGGAACTCTGTTGCCAATTCAGTAGCGTGCTCTTGCGAAAAGGCCCCAGAGAGCTCCATTCCTGACTTGGCCCCCATGCTGTTATCGTGATTGCCTTAGCCATCTTCCTCACGCAGTTTTCACACAGCAGTGCTAATCTGGCAGCCTTCTAAATCTTGCCTATTTGACTTTTTCTTTATAGACCTGTGGCAGCCTTCTGCCATACTTTTTAACACACTGCTTTTTATATTTATTCTATTTGTTAAGCATTTCCTAATCTCGCGTTTATTCATTTTTGTTTAAGTTGGTGTTTAGTTAACGGTTACGCGGCAACCCCAACTGTTGTGAGTTTCGGATTCAAAAAGTGACTTTTTAATCACTGCCCTTATTTTCACTGGGCGCTGTTGACAGTTAAGTCTGCTCTGGCGTGGTCGTTTTGCCTGGCTTTTCTCGACTCGGTTTTAGCGTGGGATTGCGTTATCGATTGACTAGGCCCGCCAAAGACCCACTCAATCAAGGAATTACTTCGTTTTCGTTCACTCGTCCATTGCCGCCTTGAATCTTGGCATGAACTTGCTCGAATAACGGTACCTTCTGTGCGATACTTGAACCGTCTTAAGCCACGATGTCACCAGACTCACGAGTCAAACGCCATTGTAGGTAGCTAATGAATTTATTCGTGGCGGAAATCATTTGCGTACACTCTACATCAATCTGCAGTCCCATATCTACGGTGATCCGATGCCAAGACAAGGTCAAGACAGTCGGATGCAGGCGTAGAGGCAGTGGATAGCAAAGTCAAGGTAGAACAGCATTACCGAACAAGACAAGGAAGACTAGCATGAACATTTCTGGCTTATTAGCCGTCGTAAACCGCCGTTAGCTAATAAGTCAGAAATGGCTATCTCAGTCTATTGTCCGAAGCACGGGTATGCATGTGTTAGCGATGAGTCACAGGCTACAGACTCTGGCATCTCCCGTATCAATACTGAATTTCAGTGTTCAGTCTTGGGTGGTAAGTCAGAAGCCGGCTACATCAAACCCAACTACGGATTCGGGCAGTCCTTCTGCAACTTTGAACACCAAATCGAACAGACTACTCTCTGGCATTCCCACTACCACTTTTGACTGCGAATGGGAGGCTGCTTACAATGGACAATCGAATGGGACAATTTGAAATTTATATATACTGGACAGATGGTGAGAAATTATTTTAGACAATCTGCGGATAATTATTTTGATTCGGCGCTGACCACTGTCCGAAACAGGAGCATGCAGTGGAATAAAAAGACTCGAGGCAGGAGATAATGGGACGAGAAGAAAGCTACAATAGAAACAGCGCGATCTGAAGTAGCAAAGACAGTATATTCACATTTCAGTCGATGGAAAATTACAAGGACCGAGGACGACGACGTATAACTTTGGATAGGCGTCCTCGTATGGCTCCTCTGACACGTTCACGAATTCGCCCCCGCCAGCCGGCTGCCGTGAGTGGATTCGTTGCACGTCCTGGCTCCTCCACTGCTTCTTCTTCTTCCTCCTCCTTCTCCTCCACCTCCTCCTCCTCCTCGAGTTCATATTCCACGCTATCCTCGTCTCCTATTTGGAGTGTTCCTTCTTCTAGGCCATCTGGCCAGGCCCTCTCCGTGGCAGCTGTTTGCGTAGTGGGCGCATTCAACAGGACGATGAAGAAGAAGACGAGGAGAAGAGGAAGTTGCCGTTGCAATCGCGGTAGTGAATGATTTGTAGACATGTTCCTTGTGCAGTGCTAGTAGGCAGCCCCTTGATGTACGCTAGCTATTAGGACGTTCAGAAGTTATTATATGCACTAGAGTAAACAGTTAGTGTCCCCATACCAGATAACAGTTATCTATTGCAGACTTGGAGGTTTTATGTTGAAGTGACGTACGGATGCACTGGGTCATGTGTCCTCTTGTCAAAGTTGACCTTAAGAACTGCGGGGACAGTGACGCTGCACTTGCAGAATTTGTAGTAGGCAGAGCTCTCTCCAATCATGCCATGTAAACCATGATCACAGGTTGTGTTTTAACAAGAGGCACCCAAAGAACGAACGTGTTTCAGCGAGAGAGTCCATATGGCCCGGCATTTATTCAAGTTGTAGCGTAGAATAGTGTTTTGTTATTTTAGATGCTGTTGATTCCAACTGTGCAACCGTTGTCTTGTTCTCTCTGTCATTTTTTTTCTCAATTTATCTGTGACAATTCCAACCTTTACTTGCCACTTCACTGACGTCACCAATCTTCCGAGTAGCCCAGCTCATCTACGTGCCACAGCAGCAAGTTCGTGAGCCTGTAGTTCTGCATCTATGCTCGTGTGATGACTGGTGTCGGACTTCGTGTTTTTACTCTGCAACTTTAGCCGTAGCTGTCATGCAATGGCACCTAAGCACGAAAATATTAGCCACATTTCTTGTCAATTTTAGCCCTTCAGAGCCAGGTGAAACAGCCACGGTGTGTGTAGACTGGCGCTGCATCTACCGCACTCATTCCTCCCCGCCTGACACCGTTATCATGACAGAGTCGAGCAGACCGGAGACGCGGGAGGCTGCATGTGGATAGTGCAGTTGAGCCCGCACCTTGGCGTTCCACGCACATCCGCCTGCCCACACGACAATTGACAAGATTTTAACCAATAACAACAACACCACAAAGGGTCAGAAAGAGAAGGAGGATAATCGGGCGGCCATACGCATGACCTGTACATCCAGCTGGGGGCTCAAGCCCACCCACCGGCAGGAAATCAGGTGTGAGAGAACTGCCAGCTCATACTAGGCCGCGAAGGCATGGTTTGCAGATGCTTACGGAGTTTTAGGCGACTGCCATTACATATACCGCGTCAATAAAATAGGCAACGAACATATTCGTCCTCACTTGCCTGAACTGTTCATGGTCCAGGGCCACCAGACCAAACAACCCTGCGGCGATCCATTCACCCACCACCGAGGTGATGACTCATAAAGCACGCAGCAGTCAAACTCGCAGCCAACCATACCCCAAATGGTCAGGGCCGCGAAGAGGAAAAAATTCGATCTGTCCAAGTCTGACTATCTCGGAAAACTATTTACAATTTGCTCGATTTTGTACATTTAATGTTTTGACAATGGTGAACTGACCAAGTGCCCCGAAACCTTTGTAGTTCGATGAATATAATACGTGAACTATCTCATGAAACGTGTTGACAGAAACTGATGTGAGAATTTTCGGATGTCTCATACGTTACGCATTTTGCTTGCTCATCCTGCCTCTCCGGAGAAGTGTCCTCTTCTTGTACAGACATTGTGTCCACTTAGGTTTATCAAACAAAACATTCATAAATTTTGGTGAAAATGGACGTCGCGGTAAACTCGGTAATTTCCTCTAATAGTGCCTGGCCTGGACTTCGGTTGCACAGCTGAGCGGTTTTTTCTTTGAAAGGAATGTACGTAGCTCTAGAGCGTTTAATAAACAGAGTCTGTCTCACTTGAAAACTGATTTTTTTGTCCGACACTAACCGTGAGAATCAACTTGCTTACACAAAGGTTATTTTAAGGGAACCAGATGTTTCATCGAATTTTAGGAGTCATGTTAGTAGATCTGCGCGATTTGGTGCCCTGAAGAGCAGTAATAACGCACACAGACAATCCTTCCTTTAAATGGGCTGATATTGTCCTGCCGTTTTGAAATTCTACTTGTTGTCACTGAAATGACCATCGCCGAATAGTCATTTTCAGTTTAGAATATACGAAACATTAATTTGTGTGCAATCTACCCTCTGCATATACCCAATTCAGAAATGGAACGAACAAGACCTTAACAGTTCTGCAAAATATCACTGTTTTTATGACCATTCCACTGCGGATTCATAATCGAAGAACGGCGTATGAAGGTGATCGAAAACAGTGCAAATGGCCACAATATAAACGAAAAGGCATATTCTTGCGTTTAAGGCAGACAAATGTTCGTATTGTTTAAGATAGTGGAAAAAACGGCCAAAATTGTCAAATGTTTTCTTGGTCTCACCTTGCAAAAGTGCAAAGTACAGTTCGTGACCTATCTGATGAAATTTCACGAACTGTGAACTTAAATCGCCGTAGTGCACGATACTGCCACCCCGATCCACGAAAGTCATACTGCGTTAAATATACGACCGAGCTTCAAAACAAGTCATGGTTTGGTTTGTAAAGTATTATTTATTGACTAAAAAAATGCCTATTTTAGGAAAAACCACCAAATCAAAAAATCGACTGCATGACAGGCTAACTATTCAGCGTTTAATATAACTGTCAGCAGAGAAGGGGAATTTCACAAAACGACAAAAAATGAAAAACAGTAACAAATACAACGTGTTAGTACTTTGTTGATTGTCCTTTAGCTTTTAAAGTTGCTGTAAGGCGGGAGGGCATGGAGACTACCAAGTTGTCTATGGTGGTTTGGTCTATGTAATTATTAGGCAAAAACTGTAGCTTTTCTTGCATAGAAATATGTTTCCTTGCCTTGTCCCAATTTTTTTTAATTAATGCAAAAAGATTTTCGATTGGATTTAGGTCCGGGCTTTTGGCGGGGATAAAAATGCTTCGAAGGCCGCAAGCAGAGAGGCTGGTTGTGGTCTAAAATATAAGATTATAGTCGTAGACTGAATTGGAATCATATGGACTTTGAGCGGTGGACAGGGGCATTATCCTGCAACATTACAGTGTCCATTTGACGTCTATGAATGCCGTTGTAACCAAAGGCATCCTTACGATGTCAATGAACACCTTGCTATTTATCGTCTCCACTGTTGAACGCCAGATCGGTCGCTCTCCGAATTTGATGGCCATCCAAACCATCAGGCGTCGGCAGTTCTTGAAAGTTGGCGTCGACATAGTGTGCTCTCGTGGAAAGTTCTTTCCACATATGACCACCTGGGCCGACTTCGGAGGCTTGTCTAAAAATAAGCCCTCATCACAAAAGTAAATGCTCTTCCAGATGGAAATCCTGTGATCAATATATTTTTGAGCAAACAAAAAAAAGTTATTTTATAAGTTTTCTTGTTAAAAATGGCTTTGTCATGGCGTTTTGCAGATGGAGACCAAACACTTTCATTCTTTCTCTAATTACGTGCATAGAAAACATTGATAGGTGTTCCCTGTAAGTAGCCTTAAGGGGCATATAATGATACTTTTTCAGTGTCCGACGAATGAAATCGTCGTCTTGCTTGCTTGTGGATCGTTTTGGCCCACCTTGCTTAGTTCTAGACATTGTTTTATTATTAATAATTCTCCAGAGAGTGACCTGGCTAATGTTTAAAATACTAGCTAACGACTCACGCGGCAGCCCTTCCGCTGCCAATTTTCGTATTCGCTCAAAGTCGACTTCCGACAGGAACTGCTTTGACATCCTTGCTGCACGGCGTGACGAAGAAAAGTGGCAGCATGTAGCGCGCAATCTATATATACGTGTTTACGCCTACTATTTCCCGGTGTAGTAAAACAAACACAGTCGAACAAGCTTATTACTGCGTTTAACGACATAAAACGGTACAGTTTTGCTAAATAGAATTTAAAAAGAGCAAATTACCTCCTGATTTATGATAATAATGTGATTTTACATACATGACTTGACCTGATCTTCATGAACTAAAAATCAAAATTTCCATTCCCAGAGTGGCCTTCTTTGATCTTTTTCTTTGTTATATGTACGTTCCTTTATAACGCAACGCGTGCAAATTAGAGGTTTTAAGATGGGATACTTATTAGAATAGGACATTAAATTAATATCTGGAGACGTCAAAATTAGCATAATTTTGTTCCGTTTCCCCTCAATAAAACTGAACTAACGCGATCTATTCTTTAGAAAAGGGCTTTTTGGGATTCTAATCAATTTTAAAAACAAAAATAACCACACCATATATATGCCGTCCCCCAACTAAAATACCGGTCTTGACATTTCATGAGTTACGTCATCTACTGTACACAGAGATCCGTAAACGGAGTGCATATTAATGCACTCCTTAAAGTGGTAATTTAGTAAGACAGTTTTCCAATTTATATGTTGCATATTCGTTGCTGACTTTCGTTGTGGACGTCCATTTTATTGGACGATGAGGGTTTCTATTTTTGTGAGTCTTCATATATGACCCAATTGACCTTTCGCGTGGAAAGGAACGCCCAAACACTCGCCACTTGGGTAAATGCCTTCAAGAAGTACGTTATTTTATTGTTAGAAAATAGGTTATACAGAATCTGTCTTTATAGGCGATCCGATGAAAGCATTAAAAATCATGCAGTATTCAGCAATATTTCAAGGCTGATCTGAAACTCAACGTGTTCCTTGACAAGCATAAAGGAAAAATTAATTTCACGAAAGAGAACTTATCCTCATTAACACAAAATGATGTGCTTATGATTAAACCTGGGGATTCTATTTAAATTTTTAAGGCAACAATCGGCCTGCCAGGGTGTGACTTTATGATGACGTTTTGGTCTTAAGGCGTCCCTTATGGTGAAATCAGGCAAAATCATGTTACTCTTATTAAATCGCATCTCAATTAATCCAACAAGCTTAGATGATGTCATGAGTCCCGGGAAAGTGTTTGCGGATCTATACTCAGACTGTAGACAGCTAACAACCGCTATATATGAAACTACACCAATTTTTAAAAGATATTTAAATGTAAACTTCATCAAAAACTTTTTAAATGTTATTATATTTGTGCTCTCATATTTACTAAGTTTTTACATGGGAAGATATTACAACGATTTTTGGTGTTTCC